CATGTTGTTGCTCCAACTCACATTCTCCAAACAAATTAAAAATGCAGAATATATCTGCAGACAAGTGTAGTGACTTGGTCATACATAACGAACACAATCAGCCATCTAATTACAAATGTGAAAATAAATTACATTCATCAGCTGTCAAATTGTCTAATATGTCCAACAATAAAATAATAATTGTATCAGATAATATAGGGCAAGGTTTTGGTTCTTTATTATCCAAGCATGTAAGTAATGTGTTCAATATATGTTCACCAGGTGCCAGTTTCCATAATAATATAAATAAAATATTAACATTACATTTAAATGAGAATAGTACAATTGTACTTCTTCATGGGGATAGTTCGTCTGTTAGGGAAAAAGGAAATTATTAATAATATGGAAATGTTACTTGGCTTACATTATAAGACTAAGTGTAAATTTATAATATGCTCATTTCCATATTCCTCTTTCCTTACAGAGGAACAAAATAAATACATATATAGTCTTAACATGACTATATATAATACAACTCACCGTCATAGTGACGCTTTCTTTTTTTTTGACATGAATAATTTTATTAAATCTAGTTTTAAGGTGACAAAAAATACTTGGTATTTGCCATTATATTATAAGAAACAAATTGCTACTTTAGTAGCATACAATATACAGAACCCAGTTGTACATAGTACAACTAAGAATATTTTAACCTGTAATAACAATGTTAGTTTAAACTAAACATTGAGACAACACCTAGGCCACAGAAATTAAATATTGTACATCAAAATATACAAGGCTTGGGTGGCAAAGAACCTGAAATAGAACTGTTCCTTAGGAAATTTAATATTCATGTCATCTGCTTCACAGAGACATGGTTACATAAGAATTGTAATATTGTAAATATAGAGAATTATAAAATGTTAAGTTCGTTCGTAAGAGTAAATGCTATACGCGGTGGCTCTCTTGTGTTAGTTAGAAATGATATAGTCTGTAAAAATCGACAGGATATAATGGCACTCCCTGTCGAACGTTCTATAGAATTATCCTTCGTTGAGAGTCAACAGTATATTATAGTATGCGTGTATCGACCCCCCTCCGGTGATTTCGACCAGTTTGAGTGTGTCATGGATGATGTCCTTAAAAACTGTGTTTAACTAGTAAATCAGTCATAGTTTGTGGAGATTTTAATGTGGATTTATTACAAGTAACACAACTTAGTAAGCGGCTTTTAAAAATCTTTTTTATGAACCAACTCGTGTTACTAACTCATCCTCCACATGTATCGATAACGTTTTCTGTAACAATGAAGTATATGACAAATCTATTATAAATTATCTGAGCTCTGATCATCTTGGTTTAAAATTTTCAATAAATGAAAACATTACTACAAGTGAAGTTAAGATCGGGTGTAGACCAGTCACTGCTAGGAGACTAAATTCTTTTAAAGATAAAGTAGCACAGCATGTATTCCATAAAGATATCGGAGTCAATAACGCTAATGATTGTTATAGATCAATGGTTGATTTTCTCATAACTTCCTATAATCATATTTTTAAACCCCGCACAATTGTTAAAAAATCAAAATTAAAATTTTGTGACTGGGCAACAGTGGGTATATATAAAAGTAGGGATTCACTGTATGAATTATATAATATGAGGCAGTGGAATCACGACCCTAATTTCCATAAACGGGTACAAATTTTTTCAAAAATATTTAAAAAAGTCTGTATACATGCAAAATCTATCTACATAAGAAATTGGATTTTAAATTCTAGTAATAAAATAAAAGCTACATGGGACATCATTACCTGTATATCTGGAAGACCCGAGATATTCAGGGAACCTATAAAGCTAGTGATAGGCAATACACACATAACTTCAGATAACGAAATTGCAAGTAGTTTTGAAAGTTATTTTTCAGAAATTGCAATTAATGTTACATGTACGTTAAAATTCTCTCCCATTGATGCAATTAATGTATTAAAAAATAATGTTACCTATTGTCGACAAACGTTTAAATTTAATCACATAGATACTGATGATATTATAAAAGTTTTGAATTCAATTAATCTTAAAAATACAGGACATTTGTGGGGCATGTCCATAAAATTAATGAGTACAATAATGCCGTATATTGCACCATATTTGGCAAATATTTTTAACAAATGTATAGATTCTGGAATATTTCCAGATCTTATGAAATTCAGTAAGATAATCCCCGTTTTCAAAAGTGGGGATAAAAATGATCCAGGAAATTACAGACCTATCTCCATATTGCCATCTCTGAGTAAAATTTTTGAAAAACGAATCTTAAATCAACTCTTAGTACACTTTAACATGAACAAAATTTTCCACAATGACCAATATGGATTCACTAAAGGCAGATCGACAACGGATGCGGGTGTCGCACTTGTCAAGCATATTTATAACGCCTGAGAAAGGTCACAAGATGAAATAGGTGTCTTTTGCGACCTTTCAAAGGCTTTCGACTGTATAGACCACGAAACCCTCCTTCAAAAGTTAGATTATTATGGCATTCGTGACATCGCCCTCAATCTCATTGCCTCTTACCTTAGTAATAGAATTCAAAAAGTATCTATAAATGATGTAAATTCCGCAGGGTCCCCCATGAAAATGGGTGTCCCACAGGGATCAATCTTGGGTCCATTATTATACTTAGTGTATATAAATGATCTCCCCTTTTATGCCAGTGAGTTATGTGATGTTGTACTGTTTGCTGACGACACATCGCTCATTTTTAAGGTTGACCGAAACGTGTCGGATTATGACGACGTGAATAGTGCACTTTCGCGTATCCACCACTGGTTTACCGTTAATAATATGGTGTTAAATGCTAAAAAAACTAAATGCCTTCTTTTTACCTTTCCCAGCATAAGAAGGCGAAGTTTTAGCTTAACATTAAATAGCGTAATCCTTAATCCTGTTGAGTCCGCTGTATTCTTGGGAATTACAGTGGGTTCAAAGCTCCAATGGAGTAAGCTCCGCTGTTTTTGCAATTAGGAAGGTTAGGCAGCTATCAGACATCGACACTGCCAGACTTGTTTATTTCAGTTATTTCCACAGCATCTTGTTTTACGGCATTTTGTTGTGGGGTAGTGCATCTGATATAAATTCTATATTTATTCTTCAAAAAAGAGCTGTCCGAGCAATCTATAACATCGGAGCCCGGAATACACTCAGAGACCTTTTTAAAGAGATTAATATACTCACTGTTGCGTCTCAATATATTTATTGTAATATTTTGTATGTTAAACATAATATTAATAGTTATCTAAAGAATAGTGACAGACATAAACTAAATACTAGAAATAAGGACAAACTAACTACGCCATTGTTTCGTCTACAAAAAGTAAACAGGTCGTTCATGGGGCAAAGTGTGCGCCATGTATAATAAAATCCCACAGTCGATATTAAGTCTGCCACTTGACGAATTTAAACGAAAAATTAAAAGTAAACTTATGGCTAAAGCCTATTATTCTATTGCCGAATATCTTGACGACGCCAATGTGTGGGGTTAATACTGTTGATACTCACGTCGGCTAAAACAAGACTATTGTACCTGTACTATTATATTGTAAACCGATTTTTTTAAAAAGAGCAACTGTTGAGTTTCTTGTCGGTTTCTTCTCAACAGAAACTGCTTTCCGAACCGGTGGTAACTTAAGAACGTGTTAATTTCTTGTAATATTTTGACGTTTCATAAGAACGCGCAAGCGTCTATGTGAATAAAAATATTTTATTATTATTATTATGGGGGAGATATTCATTTGTTTTCTCGTCTGGTTGGGTTTATAAATAAAAATTATTATTATTATTATAATCTAGTCGGTATAAATACCAATTGAACGCGAATTCAATCGTCATAATAATATCTCAAGAAAGAAGATACAAATAAAAAAAAAGTTACTGTAGAAGTATAAACTTTCTCAACAGTTTAACTCTTTATTTAAACGCAGACTTCAATGTAAGAATACAAATACAACTATGGCGAATACAAGGTCCAGAAAGCGTTCATACAAGACGTAACACCTCTTTTTTTTGGCTGGATGAGCCACTGTTGGCCTTAGGGGCCTTTACAGATCCTACGGGCATAAGGTGGCCGGGCGCTCGGGGCGCCTAGCCTGAACCTCGGCGTATTATTATTACGCGTTATGGTGACTAAGCTCGAGGGCTCCCGAGGTAACCTCGGCTCGGGCCGTCACGCTATTAGCATCACCGATTTTGGAGGCCGCCAAGCTCTTGGGGTGCTTTGGCGGGCGCTCCATGGAGTGATCAGGCTCAAGGGTCCCCGAGAGGACCTCGGCTGTCACTGACACACACAACACGCGTTTAGCATTCCGATTCGATGGTGGCCGAGAGGTCCGGACCTCGGCTCGATCGGTAGCTGTTATCTGGCTGGGGGAATTTCTAGAACTATCGTTACTACCACTTCGTAAAGCGTTGACGCTGGGAGAAGAAGTGGCAGAAGAAACTCCAGCAACGCTTCTACCATTAATTGGGGAGAACCTGCCAGGTACGTGGCGGAACCTAGTATATGTTTGCCGCTTTCGCCGGCGAGTGCGGTGTGTGTTGGTGTGTTTGCGCAGTTTTTTGTTCCTTTCGATGGCGATAGTCGTCTCATCGTCGGTATAGTCGAGAATGTGGCGCGGTCTAAGGTGATTGGGGCGGAACGTACCTAGCGGCGTGGGTCTGTAGGTGGCGGCTCCTACGATTAACGGAAACCTGCTAAGCAGCCACTGCCCGCTTATGTAGTCGGCCACTATCGTAGTGTGCGTTGCTGTAGCCGCGCGTTAACGGAGCTCTGAAGTACTAGCGCGTAGGGTATTTGACGCAGCGTAGTTTGATACGTTACAGTACAAATTTTTCAATTCTTATGTTAATTTTACTTTAATTTTTTTTGTGAGACTTTATTTTGGTCTGTTCCAAATGTGGTGCTGTGTTTACTAGCAGAGCAAGGCATTATGTTATGTTGGCAGCACAAATATGTTTTGGCTAATATGCCGCTAGTAAGTCAGGTGTGTTTTAATGTTAGGCCTGTGCCAGGTCAGTCAATGTCAGGTCACTGTCTATGTTTGTTTTTAATATGAACTTAGTTGATCTAGTTAGTGGGATCAGAAGTTACACCATCAGTAATAATAGTGGGAAATATTGAAATATATATAAAGAGAGGAATTTTCCACAAAAAGACTCCCTACTATTGAATTCGGGAGCGCACTTAGCAATTTTATTGTTGGCTCAGGCAGCGATATTACAAGTTGTAAATTACCAATTACTTGATTGTTATGGCTTTATCGGCGCGTTATGTCAGGGTTATGTTCAGTCCTATTTCGATAGAGTATTTGTGGAAAGGTAAGAGAAAAAAGTAAGCGCTAGTGTAAAATGTATAAAATATAAAATGAAGAATATAAAATAATAAAAATATTTTAGGAAACATTTTTATTACACAACGTTCTCTAGTCCTAAAATAAGCAACGCTTGTACTATGGGTACTATATAACTGATATACTTAAACGTACTTTTCTTTTGTAAATAAATAAATATTATACATATATGAACACCCAGACACCAGAAAAACACTATGTTCATCACACAATAGTTTTCAGTGCTAGGGATCGAACCCACACCCTCTGGCGCAAGGGGCAGGTACACAACCTACTACGCCATTCGGGTTTTTTTTCATTTATTTAAATTTTATATCATTTTTTGGTTGTCAATAAAATAAAGAAATTTATTTACAATTAATAATGAAAATCAAATACAAAAGATAACCATTAACGATATACTTATGGTCATTGCAATAAAATTGCTAATAATGTTATTTAACAAATAAAAGTGTATTGATTACCGAAAAAAGAAAACGGTCTTCGTTTTGTTTACCTTAAATTCTTATTAATCATAAAAGAAATTATTGCATTAAAAACAATCAACTATAAGCGACCGCCCAATACCCTCTGTCCGTATTGTGACATTTTCAAAAAGTTGCGTTATTAAACTCATTACACGAATTCAACGAAGCATTTACTTTAATTAAGGAATATTTTAATTAAAAGCAAAATACATGTTTGTGATATGCGCCGCACATTAAAACATTAGTGGTGATAAAACGACCGCAAATTCAACACGAAATCGTTTCTTTTACGCTTTTATAGTCGTCAGAATGTCTAAGGGAGCTAACGAAAATGCAGCCAGCCCGGGATCTACGGTGAGCGAAATAGTTATACTTTCGTAATGATAATCATTTAGCATTAAAGTTCAAAGTCATCAAAGTTCTTGATTGGCAAGCATTGGCTTCCAATTGAAATTACCTTCTTTACGCTGTTATACTTACCACTATGGGCTTACCAACAGTCCTCTTGTAGCTAAATAGGCTTGATAAAACATTGATAGGATATATTCCCCACTAGCTTTTCGCCCGCGGCTTCACCCGCATGTTTCGTGCTTAAAAAATAGCTTTTAACCTTTCTCAATACAGTATGGGACCAGTAGTCCCTGAGATTTGCGAGTTCAAACAATCAAACTCTTTAGTTTTGTAATATTAGTACGGATATCCTCTTATTTTTGGCTGTTCCATCACTACTAAAAATACTTAAAATTTACATGATTTTTTTTTGCGGTGGTACGGAACCATTCGTGTGCGAGTCCGACTCACATCTGGGCGGTTTTTTTAACTTTGTATAAACTAACATCATCATCATTTTACAGACTATAATCTATAGTAAACTATAGTTTTATCCAATTCAACTGTATCTATTATAAAGCATTTTATCGCACAAATTTTCAATGTGGTTCTTTAAGATGATATAATTTTTTTTATTTATAAACAGATATAAATAAAACTACACTAAATGTTAAGTGAAACTTACTAAAATGCATTAGTGAAAGTTGCACCCAAATCGGGTAAGCCGTTTTTAAAATAAGGGCACAGAAAACCAGACAAAAATTTTAAAAATCTTTGTTTTGGGTTCTATGACGTTGATAAAGGCCCCCAATAATATTCCTTCTCAAATTTCTTCCATCTACAGACAACCATCAGTTACACTTTTATTCTATCTACTACACTACAATTACACTTCTATTCTATCTCTATATATAGATTAGACATAAACAAGCATAAAAAATACAAATGCATTTCAAATACTAACTATTTTTTTGTTTTATTTTTCAACTTATTGAAATAATATACACTATATTACTTCCACATCTGAGACTGACTTGTCCCATGTTAGAATCCGTCAAAAGATTAAGATTGTACAGCGTGTCCAGAAATTATTCATACCTCGGCATAGGGTAACCATAAATTATAATATGTTAAATTCTCGACTAAATTAGAATCATACATGTATTATATATACATACACGTATTATAATCATACATGTGTTTATATAAAATTTTATTACATTAACTTCGTAAGTGATTTTAAGTGTTATGTTGAAATGTTGTGTATACTATGTTAAATACATGTATGTAACTGCAAATATTTATTAATAATGTTCTATATGTCTTTAGTTGGTAAGTCTAAATGAATAAACAAAACATAAATTACTTTGTTTTTTTAAGTTATCCGTTTATACAGTTTTACTTTTTGTTCTATAGTCCAGTTTCATTTTCAGTCCGAGGGCCGATTCCCGAAAATAATTTTGTTCATCATTGTAGCAGAATTCTGTGAACGTATCTCTTACTCTGGGATGCGGGGTAAGTTTAACCTTTTACTAATGAACATGTATTATTTATAAATTTTAAAACAGTACAGTTTTGTCTGGTTAAGCCGGGGCCCAATTTTTTGAAGCTTGGCAAGGAATCTGCAACTCCTCAGGTGTTGTAGATGTATGGACGATAGTAATCACTTAACATCAGATGCAAGCACGTCGCTTCTTAACATTTCGTATAAAATAAAACCGTTTAAAAACTTTTAAGTTAAACGGTTTTATTTTCTGTTTCTTTTTTTTTGTGCACTGAAAACTACAATATTGTATTGTCATCTAAATTAAATGTGTGTACTAAATTTCAGATCAATCTGACAACGGGAAGGTGCTTAAATTTCAATTTCTAATTTTGACCCAAATAAACAAATTCCGTACGTGTCGAGCTAAATAAAACCGTTTAAAAACTGTGAATTATCCCATTATGTGAAGGGTATAATAACAAATTAATATTACTTTAATTTGGAATGTTGCATATAATGTTTCACGACTACGCCCGAAACCCTGTAAACAAAAAAATATTATTATATTTTAGGTATTTAACTCGAGTGTACTAAAAAATCTGAGTAATGATCTATCCTTATAATTTTTAGGACGGTTCCAAACGTTCGGAATTATAAAATCAAAATTAAAACTGGATATAAAATCCGTAAATTAGTTTCATTTAATATGTATAATTTTCGCGTAAAATCAAGAAATCAAAATATCCTCATTGTTATTAATTTTGACGTAATGAAACTTTTACGTGCAGTTTTCTTCACTTTATACCTGCGCAACAAATTGGACTATACGGATGATGAGGCAACCGAACTGTATCATATTTTCAATGGCCTAGTCTACCTATGTCCCATTTTTGGCGGAATAGTTGCCGACAGTTACCTTGGGAAATATCGGTAAGCTATGTTCACAACCCCAACTCGACTGTTGTTTTTGAAATCGGGAAACATTTAGATCGGTTCCCAAATTATAGCTCCTTATAAAAAACAAATCAAACGGGGATTTATAGCGCAGTTTTTATACCCGTTAATACTAATAAAGGATCATTACAATTAGTAAGACGTTACATCTACCTATTCAGCTGGAGGACAGGTGCAAAATTGAGTCTATAATCAGTAGTGAAACGCAAAATATTATCGAATACCAGTAGTGAATTAAAGCGATTTGAATGTTGCACTTATTGCTGGTGCGATTGAAATAAATAGTCAAACGTAGAAAAACTATGCCGCTAACGATTTTACTTAGCGGCTTTGCTTGGGTCGTCGGTTGTAATGAAATCTTTATTTTAAGGAATGTAAAAGTTCTTGATTTATATAAAGATAATATAATCGTTGGACTCCTCGGACCGGTAAATTTTCAAAACATGTTCTTAGTTTCTATGATTTTCAGTGCCCACAATACTTTTCATTATTATTACCGAATGTTTTACAGATGCGTTGACAGCCTTTTGAAAATTGAGCTCCGGCTACCTCACTCACCAGACGAAACGCGAAAGTATTTGTCATATTTCCACTTTACGCTGGTCTTCTGTGAGGTCGTGGTATTTACCCGGACGGGCCTGCCCATTCGTCAGCCAAACAGCCGAGGCTGCTGCGTGGCCCTACCACCGAAGATAAAACCCAGATCTGTAAGTCAAATAAGGAAATCTCCGAATCGAACTCATGACCCTTAAAGGCTTGGTCCATCAAAAACCTCTAAATCAACAGCATCAGCAACTCAGCTTGCTGACTTCTTATTTTAGTATATTTAATATAATCAAGTGTGTGCTCCTGGATTTAGAGTTACCATGGCACATGACCTCCGCCTTATTATCATCTTTTATTTTCAGGACAATACTCTACATGATGTTTGTTTATCTCTTTGGAAATTCTCTAGTTGCATTGACGGCGATACCGCACCTTATGCTACCCGGCCGGTGAGTTAATGTCACACAATATATCTTTATCGTTTATTTCTTAATATGTAGTTTAATGAATACATTTTAATTAAGTTTTCGATAAAGGTATTGGCAACAGTGCTAATACATTTTGATAACCGTCACTGGGTCACCAGCCACACTCACCAGACAAAATGCAGAATCAGTACACCACGTGTTCTGCATTTCGTCTTGCGAGTCGATAACAGAAATGTCTTACACTTTCCACTTCACGCCGGTCTTCTGTGAGGTCGTTCTGTCGTAAGTACCACGACAGTCTGGACAGACTTGCCCATTCGAGCAACAGTGAAGACAATTGCGGGGCTATATCACAGGGTTATAGTAGATGAATATCTTTATATATATAATTTTTTTGTATGTGTGTATGTCTCTGAGCTCCTACTAAACGGCTGGACCGATTTTAATGAAATTTTGTGTCTGTCTTCAGGTCGATTCGAGAATGGTTTAAATTCACAATTCGGTCCAACTTTTTTTTAAATTTTTTTTTGTTTTAGTTGTTTTCGGATTTCAGTCTTGTTTACAGGATGTGCGTCTATGGGGTCCGTTAGTTAATAATATACATCTTGATTTTTAAAATACATAAATCATCTACAATGTAAAACATAAACTAAATGAGTATTATCTAACGAATACATTCATATTTTTCTAGTTTATGTACGTTACTTGGCGTTTTTATGATCACCATTGGGACCGGAGGTATAAAGCCTTGCGTGACAGCCTTCGGCGGGGAGCAGTTTATTCTGCCGCAACAAGAGAGGCTTCTTTCTCTGTACTTCAGCGTACTTTACTTCAACCTGTGCGTCGGAAGCTTGATTGCGAAGACTCTTGCGCCGATATTCAGGTCCCACGTCCATTGCTTCGGCGACAAGGACTGTTACTCGCTCGCTTTTGGCGCACCAGTAATAGTCATAATTATATCAATAGGTTCGTTAATTTTATCGGTGTATTAAACTGTAATAAGAAAGTCGGCTAACTAGTCGTCTTTCTTATTTAACTCTTAATCCATACTTTTATCAGGAAGTCGATGGATGCAGGTGGCTCAGGATCGTGCTTCGTGGCAGTCTGTACTTACAGTACATACATTAAAGTACTGGACTCAAACAGACTGAAATGATGTTGATTATGATAAACACTTATTTGATTGTTCGTATGTAATGGTTGATTTCTAAAACTGCTGAACTGATTCATTTTTCAAAATGAAATGTTGCCCAAAAATTTTAGTGATAAGGCCGCCTATTACGGAATTATTAATTGTTGCAACCTTCGTTATGGATTCTTTTCTTATATTTTTAAGTATGCAATAAACTAATTGGTTCATTCTTAGTACTGAGAACATTCTGCCGGGCTTATGGAAAACGTATTTTCGCTTGCTCTTTGACCTTTGACGGTTAAATATTTCTGATAAACGATAAGTGCAAACATCATACAACACAATATTCCACTTTTTGCGATTATTTGCAAGAAAAAAAAAATTATCAAATGAGACAAATTATTGAAACCGATCACGTACTATATTAATTGAACAGTGGTGTGTTAAAGCTATTTGTTTCCAGTGGTGTTCATCAGTGGAAGGCCAATGTACGTTATCAAAAAGCCGGAGGGTAACATTGTGGTCGATTTCACTAAATGTATTTTCGTAAGTAACATTTAAATTATTAATATTCACACTCCGGTAACCAGTTATGTGATAGTGAGTGACTTATTTTGCAGTTTATTTGCAAGTTAATTTTTCGCGATAATTTAAACGCCAAAGTAACGAAAGTGCAAATGCTATTTAAATTTATAATTAACTAGCGACCTGCCCCGGATTCGCACGGGTGCAATGTATTATACTATAAACCTACCTCTTGAATCACCCTATCTAGTAAAAAAAATTGCATCAAGATCCGTTGCTGCCAGATAGACAGCGGGACGACTTTGTTTTATACTATGTAGTGATTAAAGAGAATCTTTGAGTATGTAAAATCTTGAGGAATTTATTTGCACTGCAATGACAGCTGATATGATTTTTTAAAGCGGTCGAATGCTGAAATATTTAATTATTTGATAATATTCAGATTTCGAGATCAAAATACTATTTTTTAGAAAAATTTATTTATAGTATTTTGACTGTTATGTTCTTGTATCTTGTATTAACTGATGTTTTTGCTTTCAGTCCCGAGACTATTAAAGCTTCATCGGACGCAGAACCGGTGGGCTATTGGACCCTCCGCTATGGGTAGGGTCGCGCATGTGCTCATGCGTGCGTTTAACTACTATGGTGTGTCATCTAAGGGCCGTCGAGGTCGCCGGTTCGGACCGAGACCCCGACGGCCGTCGACTGTGCATTTAGCTAATCGGTGGCTGGGAGCGGTGAGAACCGCCCCGGAACGTTGTGTGGGCTGTTATGTTAGAAACATTGGTGGTGTAAAACTTTTCGTTTTTTTTTGCTTCTTTAACTACTGAGTACGAAAATCTGAAAGATAGTTCGTCTGATTGTCTATGAGGTAAGCAATTAAGCAGGCAGCCCCATTAGCTCCTGCCTGCACCTAATGGTGCTGCCTGCCTGTAGGTGAGGCCATATGACATTAGTCATATGACCTCGGTTACCTCACTCACCAGGCGAAGTGCAAAAGTATATTTGTAAATCACGCCTTTCCATTTTGAAGCCGAGGTGCTTCCTATTCAAGAAACAACATAAGCTCATAAATTCTTGGCCCTATCACCGTAAACTGATGATTGCTCTAGAGCAACGGGCTCATCAGCTACCAGGTCTACGATAAAATTTAAATAGTAGTAGAGATGTTATTTAGTTTATTAAAAAGAAATATACGCATTGTTATTATATGATTTTATACAAAAATAACGTTTTCTTATGGTAGCTCGGAATAAAGAACAAATTAACGAAAGGAAACAACAGAAATAAAGGCTCTCATTGGCTGGACAGCGTTGAACACAAATACGACAGAAGATTTATAAATGACGTTAAGAAGACGTTATCCGTGCTCAAGTTATTTGCCGTGTTGCCAATTTTTTGGGCGCTTCTCGACCAGATGGTAAATTTACGTCTTAAGTTATTATTAATTCTATATACTGTTTTAACTACAATTTGCAAAAAACAGAAAATAATTGACGTTACAAGTTTTAAAAGTGTTGATCTTATTTATTTTCTTTTAATAGACTTTTTAAAAATTACTGAGTATTCCATATATAATACGAGATTTTTTACTTACCCTTTATAGTCTTTAAAATTTGTGAGATCACTGATTGGAACAAAAATCGTATCATTGTATAACCATAAGTTAACCCAAGTGTCGACACTAAATTACAAATTTTGTCTTCTTTTCGTTTGCGTTTTTAGATAATGTGTAAACACGAAAAAAACCATTTAAAACCTTATTATTTTGCTTTGAGAAGCTAAATAATATATATTATTTATTCATTTTTGGTCATTACCATTTTTTGAAAGTAATTTCTGAAAAAATTTTTCGATTCGAGAAAGAAAAAGTTAAAAAGGCCCTCATATTTTTTAATTATTATTTAATTTATAATATAAAATTATTTCTAAATAAACAAATGATCATAATATTATTAGTAATTTCTGTAAGTATAATTACTTTGGCAGGGTTCTAGGTGGGCACTGCAAGCTTCAAGAATGGACGGAAGAATAGGCTTCTACACCGTTAGGCCGGATCAAATTTTAATTCTGTCCCCTATAACTGTGCTCAGTTTTATAGCATTGTCGCATAAGGTAAATTCGATCGTTTTAAAACACACATAACCCCCCTTGTGTTTATGTAATCTTATAGAGGAAAATGAACACCACCTTCCACTGCCATATTAAGCCTTGAAACGTCTCAAATGGTCACCATGCCGCCAAGAAGAGACAGTTGAATTCATAGTTTAAGGATTCTACCATAAAACACATTTTTACATTCTACTGGGAACCAAAGCACCGACTCTAGATCTTCTAATCAATATACTAACATTCTTGGAGTACCGCGTTAAGAGATTATTAGAAAAGAGATACAACATCCACTTCATATATCAAATAATTGTATTTGAAATACATAATTGAATCCTTATTGCCTAATAATTTACAATTTGTTCCAAACATTTGTTATTTTAAACATTTTTTCATTAAGTCAAAAGCGATGAATAGAAAGTTAAATTTTGAAAAGAATCGGTCTTCTTGTTACCAGTCTCAATGTATTTCTATTTTCAGTATATCTATCCCTTTCTAGCGAAATGTAATTTATTAACGAATCCTCTTCATAAAATGATGTTGGGTGGGATCTTGGCGGGGTTGGCTTTCGTGGCATCTGGCAGCGTCGAGACATATCTCAAGGTACGAAGTTATTTGTAATTATTTTCTGAATTGCATTGGTACTTCTAAGAAATATTGGGGATATGGAGGTGATTATGTATATCGACTCCATGGTATATCCAATAAAAGGAAATTCAATGAGCTAGTGTAAGTATTAGTACGATTTAATGTGATAGAATGCGGTGATGTAGTCGTACGTAGTAAAGGTTAATTAATATATTGAGCTCATTCATAAGTGCTTGCTTGAAGACTCATATTTTTTACTCCAATTTTTTTTTCATTTTATTTAAAAACATTTCTTTTACTAAGGATGACATAATCTTATGTTGTAAGGACGTTTTACAAAAATAAATATCACACAGACAAACACCCAGATGCGAAACAACTATCTGTGGGTAGCACTAATAGTTGTCCCGTGTGGGAATCAAACCCACGAGCCCGGGCGCCGAAGCCAATACCTTGGCAACTGCGCCACGGAGTCATTATAATAATCTATAATTCTTATTATTGGCCATAGGTAATTGGACAGCAATAACAAGGATTATAGATTGTAGACTAAGCGATAATGATGATGATGACAACTACTTTAATGATGGGAGAGATTTTTGGGTCTAAGATAAAGAATGTAAAGGAGAAAAGCACAGCGTTCATTTTCTAATTAATTCTCTGTCAGACGACATATCCGGAGTTACCGCGACCGGACTACACACAACTGCGAATCTTCAATGGCAACAAATGTACAGTTTCGGTCATCAGTGATATTAAAAACCTCTCATTTGAAATACCGCCGCTCTCTTACGTTTCCAACAAGCGTATCGCTGTAGCGGACAAAGAAAACGTTACGCTGACATTTGATTGCGACTGTTTCGACTCGAGAGCTGAGGTGGTGTTGATGGAAGAGAACAAAGCCATTTCGCTTTACGTAACCGGTAAGGACATTTATCAATATGAGGACGACGTGGACAAGAGTAAGTCGGGATTCCCGATGGTGAGGTACGAAATTTTGCACAGTAAGTTTTAGAATGAAACTAAATATTATTAAATGAATTTGTTTTTTAACCGACTTCAAAAAAGGAGGAGGTTTCTCAATTCGACCGTATATATTTTTATTTTTTTTATGTGTGTTCGGGGATAACGTCGTTTATGAACCGATTTTAATGATTCTTTTTTTGTTGGAAAGGAGATGTCCTAAGGGTGGTACCATAATAAGGAAATCCAGATCTGATGATGGCATCCCAGAGAAATCGAGGGCAATCCTCAAATGTTATAGGGGTTGACAATGTTTTTTTAGTTTTTTGTTAGAAGTCGGTTTTTTTTGTTCAAAATTATTACGGATTTATTGCGCACATTTCAATTCCTTACTTTTAGAATAATCAGCAGCGATCATAGCCATAGAACAGACAGAGGCGTTAGAAGTCTGATTGTCATTGATAACGTGGGCTACCTTCAGTTTTTTTTAATTATTAATTTTATGATCGAACTACGCGTGCTCCTTTGAAAATAGAATGTATTTTTTAAACTACTTCTCGTTTATCCCGTGTTGGGAGGAATCGGTGTTCTTTTGCAAGGATTGTGATCTATCAATCTGATATTAGAGTGGGTGGTCCTAGTGTACTCACTGAGTGCTGACTTATTTGGTCTTTTATGTTTTTTTATTTATAAAAGTAGTTTTATTAGTATCAATAATATGCTAATATGTAGTGTTTGAATAAATTATTATGAAAGTAAATACTTTAGATGCATAGCATTAATATCATTAATTATCAACACTGTTGTATTTACTATATTTTCAATGGAATTATAATTTTGATATTAAAATAGCTTTTGCTTAACTTGTAATTTATTTCATTATTTGTCTATCAATATATAATACTGTAAAAGATGCAAGTAATCTTTGGTTTCGGGAAACATAATACAGTAATTATTTACTTACAAGCGAGCTGGCGGTTCACATAATGTTAAGTGACATTAGTGACTCATGGACATTTATAACACAATTATGGGAGGTTTTCAGATGCGTTGCCACCTTATAATAAAGTGGGCCCCGGCTACCTCACTCACCAGACGAAACGTAGAAGTACGACACTTCCACTTCACGCCGGTTTTCCGTTTGTTCGTGCTACTTACCCGAACGGACCTGCCCATTTGTGCAACAGGGCCACGCAACAGCTTCGGCTGTTACTTGCCACGGAAAAATCGTATTCTGCATGAATATTAAATCAAACAAACAATTTCAGGTTTCTATTAACAGATGATATTGATGTGCACGGTTTAATATTGTACAATAAACTAACGAAAAATGAAGAAGTGTCTCTGTCACAGAGCCTACTATCTGAACGATTCGAGGTTTATAGTTCTACATACTCTGTAATTGTCGGTAATCAAATCGTTATGGATGATGTGAAATTTGAAAACGGTGGTGTTTATACCCTCATCATTGCCAATGACTCTGAATCGTATGTAAGTATACAACGAGTAATAAAAAAAATATTCGTTTATGTTCTAAAATACTTATGAACAACTTCTAGTGCGTTAATAAAAAGTACCCGGAAGACCCTGTTTTTTTTTTGGTAAATCGTGTATTTTGGAAATTACATTTAGATACAAATTATTGAGTAATGAAATATGCATAATATTTTTCGATCTTACCGACGTAATAATAAGACAATATGAACTGATGTTTTTCACAAAAGAAAGAACTTTAAAAAAAGGGGAAAAAAATAACAAAATAACAAATCAACAAAAAATTAAAAATAAAGAAAGCAATGATCTGGAATCGAAAAAAAGTAAAAAAATAAATGTGTAAATGATCGTGACGCGAACCACGGCCGTCTGTTTTGGGGCCGCCCGATTACCGACCGAGCTATTTTGACATTTTCTCTTGCGGCGAAATTTACCGTCATAATTCGAATTATATTTTTCATTCCCTGAAAACAGGGATAAAAGGACATTTTCTAAAAATGAAATCTAGCTAGATCGATTTTTCGCCCCCAAATCTATGCACATACTAAATTTCATGAAAATCGCTGGAGCCGTTTCTGAGATTCCGATTATATATATATAATCGGAATCTCAGAAACGGCTATATATATATATATATATATATATATATATATATACAATAATTGCTCGTTTAAAGGATAAGATATAACTATCATCGTGTTATATTCTGATAAGATATCTGTTGTTTTTGTTTGTTTGATCAAATTACCGGTTCATATTTGAGCTAGAAGTAATACAAGCAAACGCTTGGCCGCAATTCAATTAAAAACCCCGAAAGCTAATTTGTTATTTGTTTTTTCATCTCCCATATTTCAGATAGCTAACATGATCACAGTCACTGAAGCCAACTCTATCTCGATGTTCTTGCTCGTACCTCAATTTGTGATCGTCTCAATGGCAGAGGTATGGAGTATACAAAACTATATTAAAATAAAAATAGAAATCAAATGCCTATCAGAAAACAAAGTCTCAAACTGAAAAATAAATACCGAACAAATAGCTAAAGTAAAACAAATCTTATGGGCATCACCCTAATAAACAAGCCAAGTCCGTCTAAGCCAGAACAATGAATAAACTACGTTTTCAACATTTACATTATGCCCTTATTTAATGATTAAAATATGGTTTGAAAAAGTTATGTAAACATTACATTTAAACTGCTTTCCGTTATTTTATCGTAAGGTATTTGACGTCATGATGTCATTGTTATTCCGACTACTGCTTTAGTTAATTCAGCCTAACTGAGAAAACTGCAGTTTTCCCGGTCCTATCCATATGATTATTTATAAAATTATACTGTTGAATACTGCTTGGACTAGGCTACTCTATTTCAATAGCCTCGTTCCTTTTCTTGTCCCGAACTAATTTCATTACCTCCATTACGAACTAGTTTATTTTCCAGTATGATAACTTCATTTCATACAGCAGACTTGTTTAAATGAAAGACAAACACGATACATATTTATCTCTAGATATCTATACTACAGATAAATATCTGTATATACCTATAGTATAGATATTTATCTACACTTCTTCTTATTGTTTGTTTATCTTTTTTCCAATCAGGTATTTTTCGCAGTAACTGGTAATGAGTTTGCATTCAAAGAATCACCAGAATGTATGAAGGCCGTCATCACGGCGATTTGGCTACTTACAGAAGCATTTGGGAATGTCCTCATCATACTTTTCACTCGATGGTGGATTAACATATCGCAAGTATGGCCAAACTTTCGGACAATCATTAAATGAAACCATTTGTACGGATTTTATCGCAACCTCTTAATCAATATAAAGTATTAGTACATCTTTTAAATAATAAATTTAATAACCATCTTCAATGGACTGGTCTTAATTTGGGACCGCCGCTATATTTCAAGTTCACTTATCACTTAGGTTGTAATAAGCACAAACTGATTTGAATTTTATTTATTATACGAAAATAAGTAATAATAATTTTATTACAATTAATAAAACCTAATATTTCTAACATCTGATGTAGTAATGGAAGGTAAATATATCAATACTTTGAAGTACACAAGAGCTTTGTCGACCACAAAATTACTTCATAGACCTACATTAATCACTAATACGTCAAGCACGTTTTATTACAGTTTTATTTTATTTTATATTTTAGTTTATATTCACATAAAATTTGCAGGAAGTTCAATTTTTTCTATACGCTGGAATAATGTTTTCTTCGATGGTCGTATTTTATTATATCTGTCGAGATTATCAATTTTACGAAAGCACAGTGGAAGAGGAAAGTGTAGCGATAAACGAACAAGACACAGAGGTCGAACTGCAAGAAATGCAACTCAAACAGTTTGATTCGATTAGTGATAGCATAAAACATTCAGATAAAAAACCCGACCAGGATTCCCTTTAAACGAAAGTGTCAGAATATTATACAGCCAATGGAATAAAAAAAAAACATTTAACTGGCGTTTTAATCGATCCAATGTCATCTATACATCACAGTTGTTAACACAACTAGAAAAAAGTAAAAAATTATTAGTTCTTTTAGAGAATAAAATAAAAAATGCGTAAAAGAGTGTCTTGTTTACTCAAGTATTTTTGTTGGTGTCTGGGGTCATGGATTCAATTCCCACATTGGACAAGTGATGATAACTGTTCCGGATCTGGATGTTCGTTTCCCGAGGAGGGTTGACGTCAAGCAGACTGCCAGTCGTAAAAAACATAGCCAAAAGCATTTACAACATGATTCACATATGTTGCCGACCTCACCTAGGGTCACTCATTGTAAACTCTGATAATGAGAAATTTAATAAATAACGCATTATGACGACAAAGTTTCTTGTCGGGACTAATTTAATTCTACGAATGGCGATTGTCATGCTCATGTGTTTGAAATTAATCCCAAAAGATATTGCCTTTGTTTTGATTGTGTGCAACTTGGTTATTGTAACCAGTCTATTACATAATTAAAACAATAAAAAACTACTTTATTTGAATAGGTAAGTGAAAAATAATCTCATTTAAAAAAGAACTTAGGTTGTCGTATAACACTATTTCACTTTTTATTTTAACTGATGTTTTATCTTTCTATCCGTAGACTATTAAAGCTTCATACAACACCTGCTCTATTTTTGTCTGTTCTTCATATCGTATAAAATCTTTCCAGCGATGTTTTACTTAAATGCAGTCAAAATGTACGTTCCCCGACTCAATTTGTTCGGGTTTTACAATGAAATGGGATCGGTGTCGTAAAATTATAATCGCGCAATAAATCCGAAGAAGCCAGTCAGTGACGTTGGTGAAGTCAACTTGGGTTACCGACACGTATCGGAGATCTTATGTTATTCGTTCTTCTGCAATATCTGTACACCATGTGTAGAATTCGTATTAAAATGTGTATCCGATTTTTATGTATCTATACTATAGATACTTTTTCTAGTTGAAGTGATATTTTAATTGTTCTTTGTTTAATAGTAACAATAATAGTAAAGTATTTGTTTGGAAACATTTTAAAAGTACAATTAAAATATACCGATAAATGCTACATTAGTATAAAACTATGTCGTAGCTAACAATTTCCTCTATACTCTAAAATAAAGTTATTCATATATTGAGTGATCTAGCTTTAAATCGTACACTACATATTTCAAGGCGGGTTTCCTCAAATTCTACCAAGAACGCGTGTCAAACTATTCCGTAAAAACTCTATAATGCAATTAAACATTCATCCAGCAACAGGATATGTTGAAACGAAAAAACATCCTTTAACCTTTGAAATTTATTGCACCTTCGAAACAACATTTTAAAAGTAAGCATCAAAATAAAATTGTTGAAATGTTATCCAATTTATGTACAATTTATACGAATATCCTCTGTAACTCGTTTGCAGTGCCCCAAAAACCATACAAAAGCCGTGGGAGCTCTATGGCAGGGCACTTGCTTTATATTTCTGTACCCTCAAGCAGTTTATAAAAATACTGATGCTTGCACAGCTTTTAGAACTGACCTACTGCGTTATTGGAGTAGGAATGATTTCACATTTTGTGCTCGAACGTGAAATGTTCGATACGCTACTTTGTGTAAATATCCAAGACCTGATTCTCTAACACTATATATTACCCAATCAAAGAGTTATGAAGCAGTCAAGTCTATCAAATAGTTATTTCTTTCCGTCTTAGCATATTGTTTACATACGTAACGTAAGCATATTGTTTAACCATAACATTGTGAATTTAACAGATAAATTGTGGAAAAATTTTATATTGTAAAATTATAAGTAAGTCTGCAGAATTGAAATAATGTTTTTATCTGAAAAATGACATTTTATCTGATAAACTCACAAAAATGTTATCATTTTATGGAAGACATTTTGCGATCACAATCAATGTCAAACACCTTCAAAGGAAAGTTCTCGTTACATTTCAACCTCGGTTAATCAATAGAGGGCTTCTGATATCAGAGGAACCCTGACATCAAATACTAAATATTTCATACCTTTGTCATAAATTTAATGGTCGAAATTCCATACTGCCCAGTATCCTTATTCATTTTTAGAAATATAAATGTAAAACGATATTTGAAAAAGCGTTGAATATAGTCAAACCATCTTTACACTGTTCTGAAGTTCTTGACCGGACTAGGTCTTTTAATTAATATTTTTTAAATCGCAAGTTCAAGCTAAATCTGTGAGTGCCAATTGCTAATGAAAGTGAAAAAATAAAGTAATAGCAATAGCTAAACGGAATATAAAAAAAATATATAAATGTCGCCTATGGACAATCAAATAACTTAGGGTGCACAATTATTATCTCTACTGACTAGGTGAAATGGAATAGTATTGAATTAATACTTCTACTATTCGGTCAACTTCTACTCAAAAGTTGTAGCACTGATTTAATAATACTAACTTCTTATAATAATACTAACTTATATTTATTTATACACAATAAATATTCATATTATATATACCTAAGCATCTACATACATATAAATATTTATATATGTTCATCACACTTTAATAAAAATAATTTCACCGACATGTTTAAGGGACAAACAATTCGTTAATGATCTTTCATTACATAATTGTCGTAAATACTATATTATTATAAAATATTTAGCCTTAATAAATTCTATTTAAAATAATTTCATTGAAAATTCGTAGCCAGAAATATAAAGGATTATTATTACACGTAGAAAACAATTTTGCTAGTTGTAAAATCAAATAATGCAGTCGTTATCGTTTTATCGGTAAAATAAAACAGGAATAACAATTTCCTAACGACTAAATGAGGGGGGAAACTCCTTATATTCGTTTGAATTATTCTTGTATCTTTCGATAAGTCATGTGAAGGTCGAGATCTATTAATAATATACGAGAAAACATTGATGAAATCAGGTGATTACACTACAAGTTTAACTGGGAGTAGTTTATTGCAATTTACTTTATTCCAGAATATTTAAGTTCTAATAAAGTCATTATTTAGAAATATTTAGGCCGAATAAATTAGTTTGAATTGGATTTAAACCAGTGGCAAATATAGCCAAACTACAGCTTAAATATACATTTTAAGGATATATTTAAAAACTTCGTAACATGTAATAACGGGTACTTGGCGAAAATTTTTATCTATTATTATGTCTATTGTTATAAGGCAACAAGAAATTTTCAGTTTGTGCTCTACCAACTTATTTAAAATTGAAAATCTAATTTGAATCTTCTATCACATATCAAAAGTAGGTACCACTGTACGATGAACTATTTACTAAGTAGGAAGGGATATTTAAGTTAAAGGGCACGCTCGTGTGTTTAAGAACAACTTAACATATTATAATACTTTAGTTTTGCAATTCATAAGTTAACAGAAAATATTAATTATTAGAGCCGTGATAGCTCATCGCCCCATTTTTCGGTTGTAGTATACTTGAGCAACTTGAGTAGAAATACCGGTGCAGGCGTAATTAAATTTTTAATTGCAATTTTAAGTGCTGATTTAACACGTGCTCAGCGATGAACTAATGTCGTGCGTATACTTGCATTTTTACTTGTGGAGGACTATGTCCTAATGCCTTTGCACAAAGGAGGATTTTGCCCAGCTCTGTGACTTATATGTATATTGAAGTATACTTGAGATGTACTATCTTAAGATAGTCCATCTCAAAACTCGTTTAGATTTCTCCTCACATTACCTATGTACCCAAAATAAGTATATGAGATCTCAGTAAATGTCGGTCATTACTAGTCAATAAAACTGTTCAATTATTTTAATTCATGCTTTAGTTAGAGTATTATCAATATGTAGTTAGATGGTATTATAAACAAAAAAAAAAACAGATTTGATTCAATAGTCTATTAATTTACGTTATTGCTAATTCCGTAACGGAAAAAATACCTTTCTTTTCTCAAAATATAATAACTAGAGTGAAATCTTTAACTAACAAAAGATTTTACTGACCGTAAAACACCGAATCCAAGGTAAGAAGTATGAAGAGCATAAAGTCTTTTTACTTCTAAATAACGTTTTGTCATAAATTTAAATTTTCAAAAACATCCTGTTTCATCGGTAATCCTTACGAGTGTAGTTTTAGTTACGGGAAATAATTAAATCTATTATTTATCAGGATTAGTAGTGATAAGTTACGCCATTAGATTAGTTAAAATCGTCGACATCATTATAGCGATATTATTAAGTAGTTATTCTTTCATTTTCCCCATGATAATGTAGCCGATAGAGAAACTCTGAAAGCTTTGAGGGACCAAGAGGCGGTTGAGT